TTCCTGGAGGAGCTTGAAGAAGTGGCCTCCCTTCTTAAGCTCCTGACCCCACGACCCGACCCCGGAGGAAGTGGAAGAAAATGGATGAATGGTTTATGTATATCATGTGTTTGGATTGATTTTGCTGGTGAAAGTGCTGCTGTTGGGGCTGACCCAGTGTTTCACTGTTTAACCCTGCCTCTCTCCTAGACAAAGCTATCACCTAAGCTACCACAAAGGTTTGCATCAGCTTTTCCCTACTTACTTAAAGTTACCTGACAAAGTTACTGCTGAGACAACTGTCCAAAACACAGGTAAGATGAGGAATGAGGCCTACTCAGTGAGCCTAAAAAGCTGCAGAAACGTTGGACCTGACCGTGAACAGGCAGTCGAAACATTGCTGTAGTTCTGGAAACAGAGAAAAGTTTTTCTCTCACCTTTGTTCCAGGTTGCCCAGGAGGACCATGAGGGCCTGGAGGTCCTGAACATTTACACGAAACGTTGCAGCAAACCCGATCCGCTACAGAGCTCTGCAAGAAGTGACACGGAATATACAAAAATCTAAATTCAGCAACAGCAATCTAGCAAAAATTTTATCTCAATCCCATCCTGTGCAAAACAGTTTCCGGTTTAATGATGTAAAGACATGTTAGCTTTTATGGTAGTAATGCCAACTAACAGCATCTTTGGGCGATTAATAAGACATAATGATTCTTTGCATGGCTCTTCAGAACGCTACGCCACGATGGATGTTTAAACAACTCATGTGAAGCTTGTGAAAACCAGACAGCTGGTCACCTGACGTCATTTTTATTTAGTTGATTTCACTTTAAGATGCTCACAGGACGGGGCGGGCTGCTCAAACAGGCAAGGATGAAAAACAGAGTTGTTTTATTTTATTTCATTTAATGAGGGAAGATGCAGCGGCAATGGATAGCAGCCGTCAATCATAATGACTGTCAGCCTTTACAAGGTAAGAAAACTAAAGTTTATATACTTTATAAGTGAGTATGATTAGAAAGATGCAATCAAATATTGTATTATGGAGAAGGTACCGAGGTAGTAACCATGGAGACAATGCCGCACCGTCATGTAGCCTAGCATGTATGGAAAAAATCTGTAGCATCTCATCCGTTTTTGAATCTGCTCCAGTGTAAGGGGGAACGCTTCATGGTGTGAATTCAGGCCAAATCGGCAATTTAATCAACATGTCAGGAGGAAGGAGGGATTGGCCGGTTTCTAAGCTAGCTATTTCCAACTTTTGTAAATACCGCTTTCTCTGAGCTCCAACCAGGTGTGTTACGATCACAGACACATTAGTTTGACTTGAACAAGAAGCCAGGAATAAGCTGGCAAAAACGAATAGAGAGAACAATCTCAGTCGCTCTGTTCCTGGACTCATGTTTTCCTCAAACAAGACACACACTCACCTGGCCATCCAAGTGAAAGCAAGGAAAATATGATTTATCAACATGGATCAGTTATGGTGTTTACGTATCTGTAATGAAGGTCGTCATTACTTGGCTGGAAAACACTTAAAATGTGTATTGAATGATAAATGAAACAGGTACAAACAAATTGAAGTATTTTATTGTTTGGTTTTTATGCAGTGTCATCTCAGCTGGAACTGATGGTGTCCTGTTAAAACAAACAAGTGGGTAACATAAGTATTGTGACTGTTTGAAATGCACTGAAATGTTTGAAGACTTTGTGTATATGTGGCTAACATATACACAAAGCCATGTCCTCTGCTCTGCCTCTTCCTCTGCAGGGTGTTCAGGGTAAAAGATTCCCCGGGGCCCTGAGCACCTTTCAAAGGTTCCGGAAGAGACCAAAGCAGATGGAAGGGAGAGCAATAGAGCTATGCACTTTAGAAGTTCAATGTTGGATTTATATTTATAGAAATGTCTTTTTAGAGGTGCTTAAAATTAATAGTATTATTCTGAAGATTTGGTTATTTTTGTCAAAGTTTGTTTGTGTATGTATATTGTTTTACCCTGTTTCTTGTTGGGTGTAGCAGGGTTGTTAGTTAAACGTTGGTGAATAAACACCCAGTGGGTCTGCACCGTTTCTCTGCCTCAAGTCTCCTACTTAATCCAGTCGCTAAAGGCCATCCTAACAGTGTCCATAGTTAGCGGCGGGGCCCCGGACAGGTCCGCCACCCCGTGAGGTGAAAAAGAGGTCATGTATTCACAAACCTTTCAATCACAACCAGGATCTACATCAGCAGTTTGAGCTGCAGTCGTTTATGAGCTGGACTGGGCCATCCTTCTCTCCTCAGCTCCATGACTCTGCCATTTCAGATACTGACCAATGCTAACTAGCATAGCTGCAGACATGGAGATGGTCCGACGCAGTCATGTAGTCAATCTTTATGTTTTTTAAACCATCATCTTTGGGGAGAAAATGACCAGCTCCTTCCGTACATATTCCACCTGCCAAACTGATCCACACAGGGTAATGCTTCCCCGGTGCCCTCATTAAGCTGCCAACCTTAATAAGTTGGACCGCTGGGGTCCGGTCTATTGGAGCTAACTGTTCCTTTGTCCAGATTAGCAAAAGATAGGCACCTCCACCTCCAGTGACTAGACGTCTGGGTGCATTCTCATTCACAAAACCTTTAAAATAGTTTAAAGCGGCTTTTTCTAAACTCACCATCTGTTGCAGGATGGTGCTGCTGATGCTCAGGTCTCTGATTCTCAGAGGAGCCTGGTAGTAGTATCCCCGTCCAAACTCAACCATCTGGAGCTCCGGGGCAGCCGCCTCCTTCAAGGCCACGGCGAACAGGGCGCTGACTCCTGCAGAAAACAAACACCTAATGCTTCAGTACCGATACTTTAAATCACGATTGTTCCTTACTTTGCAGTGTCAGTGAGTCAATCATTAGATTAAGCTCCACCTTCTGTTAAATAAGATGATGATGTAACAATCTAAGGTTGTTTTTTAACTGCTGATGATGTCCTGATAAGAAAATGTCAGTAGAAAGATCCAGACTACTGTAATCTGTGGAAAATGCTGCAGATCATAAGCAGCTCAGTGGCTCTTCTTTAACTACAATGGATTAAATTACGTCTTTCAATTCTTCATCATTTTCATATTAATATGATTGATTATATATGATATTATCTATTATAACTATCACCCAAAGTTAAAAAGACAGAGAACAGCGACAGAAATCTGCAGCTGAAGTTCAAATAAAACTGGAAATATGTGGTGGTGTTACCAGAGGCTCTTAGCCGCTCAGATTCCTGCTTCAGTATCGCCACGTTTTCATTAAGTCCATCAGAGAAAATCAGCAGCACCTGATGAAAAATGTCCATCACATTAGATTAGCTAAGGTGTTAAGAGCTCTGAAACCTGGATGAACAATACAGATCACCCGAAAATAAATGAAATGTCATTGGAACTGATCTTCAGTTCAATAATTCAATTCAAACGATGGATATGGATCCATCCCACAGAGTGAAATATTTCAGTAGTTATTTCTGCTTGGTTTGATGATTCTGGTTTTCAGCTTAAAACAAATTCAACAGTTTTTCAGAAAATAAAATATGAAATTAGAGCAATAAAAAGGATTTTAATCCAGAAATATGAACCCAGTAACAGTATGTCCAGGTTTTGCTATGTGTGCTGTGGGGGAGTCAGAGACGGTCTGCTGAACATCTTGTCTAGTCAGCCCAGTCTTCATGGTTGTCGGACATCTTATTACATAATTGCAAATTTGAAAAAAAAAAAAGCTATTATATTCTAAGATCGAACTGTGTACCTTTAAAACAGATCACATCCTANGATGAGCGCCTTGTGCATGGTTACTTCTTGCTTGTTGCTCCTTGGTCAGTGTTCATAGTTGAGCGTTATTTGCCATCTGGGCATTGCCTCAATTGCTATGTTAAATGGTACAGAGAGTGGTGGTTTCTGACATGAGCAATATAGGCAAATGCCCAAGGCGTTATCTTTTTAGGGATGGCACCAGCGGATTGTAGCACAGAGATGGAAGCAAAGCAGAAAAAAAAGTTTGTTCTGCTTTTAATATTGGTAAAAATTATCAAGTATTTAATATCTAGGTCTTTTTATGGGAATACGGATCTTTCAGATCAGTTTGAGAAGCAATTTTGATCATATTTCACATTTTATCGTGTCATATAGCGTGGGGCGCTGGTCTTGGTCTTGACTCGGTCTCGACTTCCCTCGGTCTTGGTCTTGACTTGGTCTCGGACCCCAAAAGTCTTGGTCTTGTCTCGGTCTCGATACACTCTGGTCTTGGTCTTGTCTTGGTCTCGGGTTAGGTGGTCTTGACCACAACACTGATTAACCCTTTAGGAACAGACCTCACCTCCACCCGCGACGGTCCAACCAGATGGCTGACACTCTAAAACTGAAACCCTCTGCATCACTGGTTAACCTCCTCCTGAACATGCATCAGGCGACAGTGGAGAGGAAAACTCCACTTGAACAAGGATAAACCTCCAGCAGAACCAGAACCAGGCTCAGTGGGAGAATGCATCAGCACCTAGAGTCCGGTTCGGGTGTGTAACAGCGCCCCCTGGAGTCTGGATTCTTTCCCGGAAGATTATTTCCCGCTTGAATCAACCAGAGGTTCTGAAGTTCTGTGGTCTGAACCCGAAGAAGGTAGAACCAGGTGTGATGTTTTAGAACCTGACAGATTTGAATCAAACATGAAGGAGTTGGACTGACCACCTGTGAAACAACATGGATAAGTTCTCTTTATTACCAACGAACAGTTGGAGCATGCTCAGTAAAGTCTTCCTGTTTCAAACACATCAAGGGAGAAACAGACAGAAAATCAAAGAAACATGAAAGGAACCAAAAGGTGCAACAAGACGAAGGGGAGGTTCTGGCGGGACCATGAAGAGTCGGTCTGTTGGATGTCCGACACCGTGGAAACCGGCCAACCTCAGTGGTCTGCACACAGGATACCACATGTTGCTATGGTTACACGTTTTACCACCTACGTTGATGAATCAGACAGCACTTCCTGTCCAGTTGTGTCTTGCACCAGGTTTACCGTAGAGTTTTCAGCTGGACCAGAGTTCAAAGGTTCAGACACCAGAAGGGACCGACTGTGGTCCGTTTGAAGGTACCAGGCAGTTCAGGGGTGAACGGGCCGTCACAGTCCTGGACGAAGCAATTTGGATGATAAAACAAACACCAGCTGGACAAGGAAGCTTCAGAGTAATGTTAAGCTGGTTTCTTTCTGTCAACCAGTCGGGGCCCGCTCGACGACCTCGGGTTCAACTTGGTACCAGACTAGAAGAAAGTTTGTTTCCTGGGTTTGACCGGACCACTTAATGTTCTAGCACCGGTCCTGTTCCTTGCTTTGTGCAGAGGGGCACTGCTGTCGTCTCTTCCTGTTGTGTGTCAGCCAGCAGGTCACAGGTCAGCAGGTGTCCTTCAGTCTGACTAATCGGGCGCTCTCCTCCCACAGCCTCCAGGCTGCCTCATCGTCCTGTCCCTCTGGCGCCGCCTCCTTCTCTGCGCAGTCACTGTGGACACAGAAGGTTCTGAATGTCACTCGGTCCACCAGGGTAAAACTTCCACAAAACAGTCAAAAGTCCATCTGACCAGGTAAAACCAAACGCCATGGTGCAGAATCTAAACCCCGCCTTCTACCTGAAGTATCGGCCTGAAAGTTCCTCCAGGCCCGGCGTCACGGCACAGAACACGGTGGTCTGGCTGCCCTCCCAGGGAGTCTTCATTAGCAGCAGGGCAGGAAGCCTCAGCAGCGCCCCCAGCAGGGGAAACCAGCCCTCTATATGGCGCCCCAGCTCAGTCCGGATCACCCCAGGATGAAGACAGAAGGCTGACACGCCAGAACCTGTAGAACAAGTGAGGATACAGTTAGGAACCAATCACAGCAAGTGCTGATGACATCATCACATCATCTTCAGTGTTAATGAAGGCAATGGAGTGGGTGGGGGGAAAGGGAATCAATTGGGGTGGAGGGTGTCAGTTGTCTGGAAATGTGCTCAGCAGCAGAAGCCGTGCAGATAGTTGGTCTTCTTAGGGTCTAGTTAAAGGACTGGACTTCCTCTGTAATTCTTCTTCTCTTACCTTAGATCCAGAGGTGAGACCAACTCACCTCTGGGTCAAAGGTTGTTCTAGTGTTTGTGGACTTGTGTGAACCTCTGAGACGTCGAGCCAGTTCTCGGGTGAAGAGGACGTTGGCCAGCTTGCTCTGCCGGTAGCTCTCCAGCGCGCTGTACGGCCGCCGGCTGAAGAACAAGTCATCAAAGTTGATCTGACCTGGGAACCAGAACAGACTTCAACCATCTGCAGGGATCAGACATGTTAAGATGGTGAGGTCAGAGGTCACACCTCCCCGGTGGGCAATAGATGACACGTTGATCACACGGCTGGGGGTGGAGCTCTTCAGCAATGGCAGCAGCAGATTGGTCAACAGGAAGTGACCCAGGTGATTGACAGCTATCTGAGTCTCAAAGCCATCTTCTGTGATCCATTTAGGGCACATCATCACACCTGCAGGATGTAGACAGGTGAGCACAGAGACAGACAAGGATACAGACAGGACAGGTGAGCTCGCCTGCATTGTTGACCAGGATGTCCAGTCTGTCTTCACTGTCCAGGAAGTCCTTGGCGAACTGTGAGACAGAGTAGACGGAGGCCAGGTCCAGGTGTCTGATCACCACGTTCCCGTTTCCGGTAGACTGCCGGATCTCGTCCGCTGCCCGCTCGGCCCGGCTCAGATCCCTGCAGGCCATCACCACCCGGGCTCCTGGAGAGCCCACACAACCTGCTGTTCAGTAGTTGATTATGGGTTTACCTGACAGTTATTAATGCCCAGGAGATAAGCCCAGCGGAGCGGATTAGCTCTGCTATCCTGGATGATGGAGCCTCTCTTTGCCCTGCGGAGGAAGCTCATCCCAGCTTCAGGATCTTTGCCTCATTCCTGCTGGTGATGGACTGGTGACCAGAGTCCAACAACAACCGGTCAGAACTTTAAACCCTTTTGAAAGGGAAACTCTGCGTCTGACAAATTAGTAAAACTTCCACCAAAGTGGGCGGAGTCAAGAGACAGAGGGGTGTGGCTAAATGTGGGGATGAGCGGGGCTGTGGTCAAGATAGTACTGTTGAAAACTTACAAACTTTTCAGACCCTCTGACTTTTTACCAAAAAACCAACTAGGGACAAATCTAATGACATGGTTCTTTGTTGAGGTTCCTCTTGACTCTCCACAGGGTGGCGCTCTGTGTCTTCGGCCTTGTCCACACGTAGCCAGGTCTTTCTAAAGACAAATATCTCCACCACATCATTTAGAAAAATCTCATCACACACAAAGGATTAGTTTCAGGAAAGCTTTGATCAACATGAACCAATCTGCCACTCAGTGTTGTTTTAAACGTGCCAAACCCATAGGAGGCAGTGAAGTGTCAAGGTAAATCCTGTCAGCCAATCAGAATGCTCCAAAACAACCAGCACTTCCTGTTAGGAATCAAACATGGAGCCAGGAGGTCCATCCATGTGTTGAACTGCTTTCAAACAGAGTTCTGCATGATAAAGTTAATACAACACGAGTTGATTAGGAATCGTGTCAAAGCGAGTTTGTGAAAATATTGGCGCATCATTTGTTCCAGATGGTAATGCGTGGAACCCTAAATCTCCATTGTCCTATAAACAAATACAGTTTTCTCAAATATTCTGAGTTTTTTAGGTTATTAAACGTTTTCCCAGATATCAGATGTGAGTGAACTAGAAAGCGGGACCGTCTCAAAACAGGAAGACTCGCCTGCAGTACCACAGTTCAACACTGAGAGGGCAGCACTGAGACAGCTTTAGATAAAATACTGCAGAACTAAACAAACTGACTTGAAAAGACAGAACCATGTAGTCACCAGTATAATATGGTTTGGTTACATTTTAATGTTCACATAAACAGCGTTTTGGTAGCAGTCAGGTTGAACCGGAGCACACCTGTCCACCAGGTGAGCAGCGGCCGTCTCACCTCTCCCTGCCAGGTCTCTGCAGGTCTCCTTTCCGATGCCCGTGTTCGCCCCGGTCACCAGAACCGTTTTCCCATCCAGCCGGACCGAACAGCGGCACACTCCACCTGCGATCCACTTCCTGAGCACCACCACACCTGGAGACGGACAGACAGCCACAGGTGAGACCGTGAAGAACAGCTGGAACAGCTGGATCTGGGAACATTTCTGTGCTTCAGATCTCGTAGAAATGTGCAGATAGGTTGATGTTCCTGTGGTAAACGGGTAAACTTCAGCTCAAATCAGCTTCACATGCGGAATGGAAGCAGAGCTGAGGCCTGAAGCAACAGCACTGCTCCCCCTACTGGAGCTTAGGCAGAACTACAGCACCTCATACGCTAATAGCATTAGCTCTGTGTCTCCAGATGACCTCTGACCCTTCTGCTTTTGCTGGAAAATCTTTATACTAACATTGATAGCAAAATAATTAACTGATCTGAGTCTTTATCATCCTGTTTGGGCCAGCAAAGAATTAAAACTAAATGAAACATCATCAGAACCAGAACCTGGAGGTTCTTCTTTGCTGAGTTGCTGCAGCAGAAAATCAAACTCAGCAGCTGCTGCTCACGACCCGCCGACAACAACCAGGTCCGGACCGATATGAGACCGGACCGATATGAGACCGGACCGATATGAGACCGGACCGATATGAGACCGGACCGATATGAGACCCGACCGATACGAGACCCGACCGATACGAGACCCGACCGATACGAGACCCGACCGATACGAGACCCGACCGATACGAGACCAGACCGATACGAGACCAGACCGATACGAGACCCACCGGTTAGAGGGGCTGGTGGAAAAACGCTTTAAGGGAGAAATCAGCTCAACATGCCTGCAGGTAGTGGCAGCATCATGCTGACTGGAGAACCAGCCTGATATTATGGGATGGTCTGTATGCAAATCCATGCCACACTTTTCAGATTGATTACAGTAAGTTGTGAAAACATGATTCATTAAAACTTCAGGGAGGAAAACCTGGGAAGCTTTTTATCTAAACAAGATCAAAAATAATTCTTATTAATAATTAATGTATCGTTTATAAACTGGAGTTCCGGTTCTTTCTAGTCTCTCAGTTCCGGTCCAGTAAAATGTTCTTACAGATCAGAGTGACTCCCACTGCGGCTCCACACGTCAGCAGGACACCAACGCCCCCAGGCCCCGGGTCCGACCCGCCGCCGCTGGGCCACGGCAGAACCAGGAACTCCTCTGGCGCTGCGGCTTCCATCCCTGCAGGTCGGCGCAGACTGAGTGGAACTGAGCAGAACCGACCCAGAGGAGAACAGATTAACAGATTAGAGCAGATTATGGATCAGAGCTGCTCTGGGATCACTTACCAGCTGAAGAACCGAGGATTAGAATGGCAGGAAACTACACAAACAGAACCAGGCCAGAACCAGACCTGTACCGCAACAAACTAGAACCGGGTCTTCTGGACATTACAGAGCTGGGTAACACTTTATTTGAAGGGGGGTGAATAAGACTGTCATGACACTGTCATAAACATGACATAACACCTGTCATGTTCATGAATAAGCCTTCATGAATATTTATGACTGTTGTCATAAAGCGTCATTCGGTAAATTATGACACTTTTAATACACAGTTGACATTATTCAAAATGTCTTTGTTATGACAACTTGACATTAACCAAGAAATCATTACTGTTTAAACTTTACCTTTAATAACATAAAGTTACCTAATTTTTAAATGCAATCAGTAATACTTTTATAACAAATTTATATCAGTAATGATTTCCTGGTTAATGACAAGTTGTCATAACAAAGACATTTTGAATAATGTCAACTTTGTATTAAAAGTGTCATAATTTACCGAATGACGCTTTATGACAACAGTCATAAATATTCATGAAGGCTTATTGATGTTCATGACAGGTGTTATGTCATGTTTATGACAGTGTCATGACAGTCTTATTCAACCCCCTTCAAATAAACTGTTACCCAGAGCTGTCTCCTGGGACAGACATGCTGGACAGCAGGTGTTCCCTCTCCTGTCCTCTAGAGGGCAACACAGGAACCTGAAGCTCACAATGAACACAAATCATCATGTAGCTAACATTAGCCAGTCATCATGTAGCTAACATTAGCCAGTCCTCATGTAGCTAACATTAGCCAGTCATCATGTAGCTAACATTAGCCAGTCCTCATGTAGCTAACATTAGCCAGTCCTCATGTAGCTAACATTAGCTGCCTCCAGCAGCATTAATCAGCTCTCTCTGTTAGCTTGTGGTAAAACCTGTGTTAAGGTTTATGCCTTTAGCTGGTTTGCTGCCATGATTCTAACACACACATATTTCCATAAAAAAACTCGGCTGATTTCTCCTGACATGTAAAACTCAAAGGAGGGAGAGACTCAGAATCACTCAAAATATTAATTTTATTTTTTCAACAATAAATCAAAAATAATCAAATGGTCAGTGTTTTTTATGTTGTTTTTGCATTTTGTAAATTAATAATTTAACTTTTTCATCCTGTCTGATTATTTACCTCCTTTCGGGGTTCTGTCTTTTAGATAATAACACGGATAATAACATCAGACAAATAAACCCAGAGCTGTTTAACCAGAACCATTTCACCAGAACCAGAACTCATCTGACAACAGGAAGCAAACACAAGCCTGGACCTGATGAGACACAAAGTCTGGAAAGGGTCTCAGACCCGGTTCTGGTTCTGGTCAGAGAACCAGGGAGAACCTTCCAAGAGAAGGTTCTGTGGTCCGATGAGTCCAGTCCGCTTTCATCTGCAGTGAAACCAAACGGTCATACATGGTGGTGGCAGTGTCATGCTGCGGGTTGGACGACCTTCACCTTGTGACCTTGAGGTCACTTTTTATGAGCAGATCCACAACTGATTGTGGTGGATCTGCATCAAAGCGAGTCAAAGTTCATCCATAGTGACATGAGAGGTTTTAGTGTCATTACTTTTTCACACAACAGCCAGTTGGAGAGACTTTTTATCCCAAACAAATAAAATCGATTTGAAATCAGTTTCTTCAGGTTGTCTCGTCTTTATTTGATTTAAATGTTATTAAAAAACATAAATGAATAAAGCACTGAGCAGCATCTGGTTTCTATTTGTGTGTTTTTGTCTTTGTTTAACAAGAGGAAGTGCTTTTCAGGTTAACTCGTGACGTCGCAGTTCGTAACCACGCCCCTTCAAAACACCAAAACCAATATGGTGGACGGCTCTGGATGTTCCTGGAGTTTTGGAGCTGCCAGTCCGCTATATTGGCCACAGTTAATGTTTGTTTGTGTGTAGAAGGTTATGAGCTGCACCGCTCCGGATTACAGAACCTACTCCGGTCGAACCTGGTCGGGTAATCCTTGATCTTCTGAAAACCCGCAGCTCACATTGGTTCCTCCAGAACAATTCTCATCAACCAATCAAAGGCAGAGATGTCTGATGGGACGTAACGTCAGGCCCCAGAGAGCCAATCCACTGCTCTGATACAAACTATGAGGAGGAAGGCCCGCCCACTGCGTGTCGAACTGCAGCGCGCGTGAAGAAGAAAGAGTAGAACCGTCCGAATCGGTTCGGTCCGACTGCCGAAGCGACGCTCCAGCTGCAGGTAGGAGCGGTTCGAATTGACCCGGAGCGCACAGACAGAGCTAACCGGGCGGTGGGAGGGTGTACTCGGTGTGTGTGTGTGCACAGCCGCTGGAGGAGCGGGGCGGGCGGACACAGACCGGAGAACCGTACGGCTGCGGTTCTACCGGACTCAGTATCGGCTCTGAGTCCACAGTGACCCGCAGTCTTCTCTACTGGTGTTCCGGTTCGGTCAGGTTCGGACTGGAAGTTTGTTCCCGCCGGAACAGAGAAACTGCAGGGAGAATCAAAGGAACAAATAGGACCTTGGGGCGAGCGCCCCCTGCGGCTGCTGCTGGTATTGCAGCGACAAGTTTAACTTCAGACTGAGTTAGGGCTTATAACTAAAATAGTTTCTTCCAAGTTAAATGTAAAAGGATTATTAATAAATATTTAAGAAAACCTTGAATGAAAACTGTAACGTAGTTGATTTAGGAAGACATTTCCGTATCATTCAGATAAATGTGGAAAATACAAGGAAAACAGAAGCTAGAATCAATGCATCAGAATAGGTCTTAATAAATCATGAGTTTGTGGAAGATATTGCATATGAATCATAAAGGAGACAAAATAAACATTTTTCTTATTTCTGTAAATTTCTTGTCATCCTCCAGTCCAGTTGGTGGCAGCAGTGCACCGTTATAGCCGGTTTGCTAATCGGCATAAAACAAAGACGACAAGACATTATTAGTCATGACAAAGCCTTTCATATCATGAAAGAGAGTTATGTTTGGGTTGGTTGGAGCAACAAAATTAGTTAGTAATTCTATCTTCTCCTTAGATTTAATCACCATTATGATTATAGCTGTTAGAGCCGCGCTCACACCGCTCAGGAAATGTTCAGGATATTTGGCTCTCAGGTCAAATTGATGGAAAATATGAAATGTTTCCTGCTGCAGTGACGTTATATTAATATTATGAAAATAGAGGCTTTGGGTCTCAGTAGCGAGTCATGTGACTTTAAGCATCAATCTCAGCGTAATGGTGGCGCCTCCTGCTGGTTAAAGGTTTCCAGGTTTTTCCAGACGTCTGGATCCGTTTAATGTTGTGTTTTATTGACATTAATCTTTCTTATACTGACTCCCAGTGGCGCTGTCAGGAATCTTGGGCCCCCTGACAAAAAATTTAATTCCCCCCCCCCTCCCCCGCAGCTGCTGTTACAATTTCTTGAGTCTATTTGACCCATAAAAAGCGCCACAGTTTTAAAGGCTTGCATCTGCCTTGCTTTCTTTGGTTCAATACTGATAATTAGCACAATATTTACTGTTCATGAATGTAACATCCAACAGTCCACATCAGGTATGCAAGTAGGTTGCTTAAATTTCTTCTATTAGTTTTAGATACTGAAATGTCTCTCCCCACGAGCAACAGTCTAAAGCAACGTGCAACGACACATGAAGCAATCCAGACTTCTAAGAATGCTACTAGTTGCATTTTATTCAGGCTGCAGTACATAACTTTAATNTTGGTTGGTGGTGTGCCTCGAGATTTTTTCAATTAAAACAGTGTACCTTGGCTCAAAAAAGGTTGAAAAACACTGAGCTAGTATACTCATACTAACTATGAGCTAGTATAGTTAGTATCACCCAGATCTCTTGCAGATCTGGGTGATCTCTTGCAGCAATAACAGCTGCAAGAGATCACTTCCAGCTGTTATTGCTCAGAGATAACAGCTGCAAGTTATCTCTGAGCAGCTTCCTTGTCACTGGTTAAGAAATATATCCCAACAGCTTTATGCTGCCACTGTAACCGGGTTCTGCTTCACTCCACTGTACGCGGCTGGCCCAAGTAACCCCTCCCCTCGACTCTGCGTTGTGTAGTTTTTTAATGAAGACAAGGAGTTTCTGGGTGATCAGGCAGTTTATTTCCTGAATGAGAACATATCAGGGATCGAATCAGTGCAACAGCTCATCTTCAATCAGCACACTACAACAGAGTGAGTGTTATGTTAGCTTTTTAACTTGGCACATGAAGGGTTTAATAATAAGATTAAAAGTACAAAAATTGGTGCCAGGCATGTATCTAGTAAATATTAATTACTCACTATTTATCTAAGTTAAAAAAAAAATAATGTTTTATCTGTTGCTAACATTTTTCTACTCAGTGTGCTAAAGAATGAAACTCACCTCTCGTGCAGCTTTCACAGACTGGCACTGAGTACAGAAGCCAGCAGCATATAACCAGCCACACAGAGAGGAGGGTGCCATTTCCCCATTGCACTGATACATAAAGCAAATGGGATTCTACAACCTAAACACTGTTACACCACCACCATGTTTCACTGGGAAAATGATGTTTAGAACAATGTGCAGTCTTTGTTTTCTGTTTTTGTTGTAATATTGTTGGAGAACCCGACCCTTGAAAGTTGTGGTTCTATAAACTGAACCACAACTGTCCTGTCTGCTGTGTTTCTTGGTTGCTATGATGCTGTTTGAGCTTGAATCTTTAGAAAACCCTTTGGGGCCAGAACCAGAACTGCTGCTGCTATATGTGCAGTTGGACTCTGTTTACCAGTTAGTTGACTTTTAAAGGTAGTTGTTTTCTGTGTGCATAAGAAGGGTAGTTGCTTTCTTTGGGAATATGTCAACATTTTCTATAACCATATTTTCCTTTCGTTCCAATTTACAGATAGTTTGTACTTTGTGTTCCTGATAAAATACAGTGAAAATAACAAAATGACAAAATGTGAGCAACTTCAAGATGCATGAATCCATTTG